CGATGCTCTGTTCCGCTGCACCCGCACCTTGCAGCACCCACACAAGCACGCGCCTGGCCGAGCGATTGCTCAAGGTCGTGGCCGAACGCCTCGACCAGCAAGGCCATCCCTTGTTTGGTTCGTCTTTGTTTCAGTTTTTCGCTGATCTTTTGATCACCGAGCCGCTCTCATAGCACAACCACCCATCCAGCCTGCTACTCATCGCACGCATGCTCCAGACACACGCGCGGCTGCACCTCCGCAGCACACGCAAGCCCCACGCCTCCTCCGTGCAATGTCTTTGTTCCAGCCAACAACCATGGCCGTGATCTCTGAACTCTTGCACACGGCCGCCCCTTGCTGCACCCACAAAGGCACTGCACGTACACCCTCGCTTCCACACCCGCATGCAAGCACCGCCGCGCGGCCCCAAGGCACCGAGGCGAGCACCTGCTGCTTGTTGTTGAGCTCCGTCGCGAGCACAGCCAAGGCCAACCCTCGTTTCTGTTGTTTTGTCAGGTTCGCTGAAGCTATAGGTTCAGATAGTGCTCTTCTATTAAGTGTCTGTGAATTCAGTGCAGGTCCTACTGTTTAGCCCAGCTCGCGGGCACGCAGGCGACCAGGGATCAAATCCACACTCGCACAACCCTTTTACACCAATTTTTGCTTCACCCAGATCAAGCTTTGCTCTTGTTTCATATTCTGTCAAGTCATTCTTCTGCACAAACAAATCAGCAGCCAAATGGTTGTTCAGCCACGCACATATCCCGATTTTTTTATAAATAATAATTAATAATCACATAATTACGAAACTGAGAAAGGATTGGTCTAAATCTGAAAAATAGGAAGGACGCTGTTTTCCTCAGCGTCCAGGTCTGGACGTTACGCACAGCGTTCTGGCCTGGACGCTACTGTCAACATCGTCCCTGTATCTGGTTCGATTTGCTGCTATGAAAAAGATTAAACTGAATCGTTCTCCTCAAACAGACGGAAGATTTGTCGCTTGTAAACCCTAGAACGCATGGAATCACCGCTCGTCAACCTCGCCATGTCCTAACCAGCCCCAGAACTCGACGTCTCTGATCACGGTACCCCTATCTCTCTTCTATCGAAACCCATGGTGCAAGATGGGCATAGAGAATTTTGATGTGTGGCTTGGGCATTTGGACCTTGTATTGAAGCCGTTCCTCACATTCGACCTGTAATAAGTGTCGATGCTTCATTTCTATCGGGAAGGTACAAGGGAAGGTTGCTAATGGCTTGTGGATATGACGCTAATAACCAACTAATACCTCTTGTTTTTGCCATTGTGGAGAAAGAGGATGCATCAAATTGGGGCTAGTTCATGAGATGGCTTCGGAGGGAGGTAATTGGTGTTGGAAAGTTCGTGTGTGTCATTTCAGATCGCCACAAAGCAATCAAATGGGTGTTTAAGCAGCCACACATTGGTTGGAACGAGGATGCTGGTGAGTGTGTTCATCGATTTTGTTCCCAACATGTCGCAGAGAACCTATACAAATCTTATCGGGATGATAACATTTTGAAAATATTCAAGTGGGCAGTCAAGAAAAAGAAACCTCGTAGGTTTGAGGAGGGCATGTCATCTATTGCACATACTTGTCCCGATGCAATAACATATCTTAGAAAGGTCGGTAAGTATTTGCAGGAAGACAAAAATGAGAAAGAACAACCTGAAAAAGTATTTCAATGCATGGATGGGGGTTACCGTTGGGGGATCATGACCAGCAATGGGTCCGAGTCCTTAAACAATGTGTTTAGGCTTTCCCGAAGGCTCCCAGTGGCAGCGATTGTGGAGGAAACATTTTCAAAGTGTTTGGAGTGGTTTGTGGAAAGAAGGCGAAGTGCTCTTAACTTGGTTGATGATGGAAAGCAATGGTCCGAACGGATGGACAAACTTTTGGTGAAAAGGGGTGACAAGGCAGGACATATGCATGTTATTTCATATGGCGATGAAGTTGGAATATTTGAGGTCAAGGTTGATCACGAGAGGGTTCCATTACGCCATGGGGATCATGTTGTTTTTATTCATAAAGGCTTCAAGTACAAGGTCATTTTGCGACCAAATAATGCTCCATCTTGCGAATGCCTAAAGCCGAACCTAACTCGTGTGCCATGTGCTCATGCTTGCTGTTTGCAAGTATCGGAATCTGAATGAAAATGAAATAGTACACTCGTATTACTCTTCTCAAATGCTTGCAAACACTTGGGCTGGGCAATTTCATCCATATGGTAACCAAAATGAGTGGCCAACATATAATGGACCTACTATTGTTCCCGATGAGAAGTTAGTAAACCGTGGGCGTCATCAGCACAAAAGGATCCCGATGTACATGGATGAAATGCAAGGAAGGCGAATGGGGCACCAGGCCCGACGTTCCACAAGAGACAATAATCAAATAGGTATTGCAGCTTGCTATACGGTACTGGTTTATATGTAAAATTTATTTACATTTTATTTAACTTGTGTGTCTTACCTTTAGGCACATCATCTAGTCAAGGACAGATCTCATCGTCGAGTCGAGGAAAGAGGTTGAGTCAAGGGAAGAGCACATCATCCATAGGAAAGAGGTCGAGTCAAGGGAAGAGCATAGCATCTAAAGGGAGGAGATCAAATAAAGAGAAGACCACATCATCTAGTCGAAATTCTGACACTAGGAGTACCATCTGATGACTAGTATTCTGGGAAATTTTCATTAAATTTGGATTCAAACATCGACAGAGTCGTCCATTGTTCGTTCAGCCAAAAATTGGCCAAAATTTTGAACCAAAAATAAAAGTGTCCAGAAATTGTTGACCTTTTCACAAAAGTACAACCATATGATGACTACTATTCTGTAAAATTTTCAGCCAATTTTGAGTAACACATTGAGAGATTCGTCCATTCTTTGTTTTCAGCCATAATTTGGCCAAAATTTGAACCTGAAAAAAAGTGTCCAGGATTTTATGAAATTTTGACACAAGGACTACCATATGATGACAAGTATTCTGGGAATTTTTCATCAAATTTGGAGTAACACATTGAGAGATTCGTCCATTCTTCGTTTTCAGCCATAATTTGGCAAAAGAACCGAACCTGAAAAATGTGCCTAGAATTTTATGAAATTTTGACACAAGGACTTATATATGATGACTACTATTCTGTGAAATTTTCATCAAAATTTGAGCCACACATTTAGAGAATCGTCCATTCTTTGCTTTCAGCCATAATTTTGAACTCAGATTCATCTCACGCACGTTCAGTTTTAGACAAGGCAGGCTGCAACATGAGCTTAGCCAATGCGGAGTGACATGGCTTGAAAGGATTACAACCCATGTGTGGCCTATTACAAAGCATACTCACGAACTTTTTTTGTTGTGCAAAAGGAAACAAACATCTACCCTGTTACACTTCTAGAGATGAGCATATCATATCACTATATGCTCTCATTCTAATTTAGTACTTGTGAAGAACTCCTTGACTGAAATCTGGGAGCTTGAGTTGCATCTTGTGTTGTCCGTCCTCCATCTACCATGGCTTCACCAACATTGAGATATGTTGTAAAACCTCTCCCAGAGTATATCCAATCATTAAATACATCGGAGTTGCTTTCTTTCGGGGGGCTCGGTGGTTGAGCAATATCTGAAACATCATCATCAGATGGGATATCTTCGATCTTCAGCGGCAATCTAGCCTCAACGAGCATGCTTCGCAGCCTAGGCTCCAAGTTGAGATCCATCAAATTTCCTACACAAGACCTCAGTATAGATTTGCCTATCTTCTTGCATCCACTGGTAGTAGCACAGTTGATCCCCCATGCAACATTCTTTATCTCATGTAGGCTCTACAAGTGACAATACAAATATTAAATCATGTGATTGTTACTGCATTGCAAATAAATAATGAAAATATTGCACACACTTACAATGTGAGCCAATGCTGGACCGCTGGGCATGTACCCGGTCCATTGGATGCTATCTCGAGGATATGGGATAGGTTTATCTAGGCCTCCTAAGCATTGTGAGTCAAAGAATATTGTGTACATACCATTTTGCTGGAACCAATGTCTGTAATCCGGTAAACTAGCTACATCAAAGGGAATATCCTCTGGCGCTACTCCTACTCGGACACGATCATACTCTTGAACATATTCTTGAACATACTTGGCATGGACTTCTTCCCAATTATGCGGTTTCCTTGCAAAATGTTTATTTTTTCACAATTTGCGAACCTCTACCTCGCCGCGTGGAGGGGAAGGTGGAATGGCTTGTCTTAATCCGAATTGCCGCATCACCCTATTTGGATAGTGAAACTCTACAATCCAAAAATGTATGAGTGGTACTCTAGCAAACCACCAATTAGTACCATCATGTACTTCGACAGGCATCTCATCCAGAAGGCCTTCATATGGTTGCCATTCAATTGCACCTTCTTGAATCAAATCAATCTGATTTCGATAATATTCGGTACCTATATAGTTCATTTGCAAGTGAGAAAAATTAGTTTTCATAACATGAACAATGTATAATAGATGAGGTGAGTACAATATGATACCCGCATTATGTGGAACATCAAATTCATGTCCAGCACACCACTTTGCTCCAAATACAGGGTTATAATCCAAGTCTACTTCTCCACTTTCCTCATCTCCGGGCTCCTCCCTTTCTTTTGGCTTCTCAATAATATTTTTAGGGCGACCAAGTGGCAAATGGGACCAGGACCATAACTGTAGCAGCAACAAAGGCCCCGAAATTTCTAATCTCTCCTTCTCAGCCCCAATGCTCAACTGTCTATATAACATAGCAAGAACAGCTGCTCCCCAATTATACTCTGTTGGTTGCCATGCATTCTGCATAAACTGAAGATACATAGCTGGCACTCCATCTCGAGATGTATCAGTGAACACCGTGGAGCCAAGGATTTCTAGAACAATCGCTCGAGCATGCCAATGAATCTCTCGATCCATTGGATTATCCGGCATCACCTGGAAGCGTTCTCGTAGTTTACCTAAATTTAAAGAGTACTATGAATTCTTCACAGCAATATTGTCATCATCTTTCCGCCTTCTCTTTTGCTTCATGTGTTGTTCATCTATAGGAATCCCAAGTAACCTCTCAATTAATCCAGACCATGCAGCATCAGCTTTGCCAATAAGTGGTTTACCATGGATAGGCAACTCCCACAAACAACTCACGTCTTGTAGTGTAACGGTCATTTCTCCTACAGGTAAATGAAAAGTATTTGTCTCAGGCCGCCAACGCTCGACCAATGCTGATATCAAATATTTGTCGACATTGATTTTCTTCATTTTTGCAATTTGATAAAAACCAAGGTTCTCTAAGGCTGCTCTACATAGAGGATCCACTGGAATGCCAACACGGTGACACCGAACATTCAAGCAAATGTTACGCTACATTAAGATATAAAAAAGTCAGTTTTAGCCAACCATAAAGTGCAACAGACCACATGGAAATTCGATAAATACTCACATTTTCCCAAGATTTGGATATTTTATGTTGGCTGTGCGGCATCCATAATAAATCACTGAAACGCTGACTTGTATTCATTTCAGTACCCTGTTACAAGATAAAGGAACATTTAAGCAGTTCAAGTGAAATACCATGTCAATCATTTGCATTTATTCTTCAAAATACTACACTAGATGAACCTTAATTAGTCCTATTCTCTCATTGAGACTTGTGCTTGTCAAACAACTTAAAATTAGTAAAGCTGCATCATCAAGAATAGCAATCAATTACTCTCAACTTCTTACAAGGACCATGTTACACTCATGAAATTTCAGGAATACACATTTTTTTTGGTTTGATGCAGTATCAGTATCAATCCATCAATCACAAAAAGAGACAAGTAACGATATAAATAAATGAGATTTGCTAGCATCTATTGTAGTGTGCCATTCAATTGGAGATCAGGAAGAATCGTATACCAGTTTCAGAGAAAAATACAGTGCCTACCTGTGGTGCTCTCCTGCGGGCGACGATTGATGTTGCGAGGCTTGCTGGGACGAGGAACGGACCAGATGTGGACACTGCGGTAGAGAGACGAGAGGTGGGCCGTCACGTCCGTCGGACTCGCTGCGAGCGCAACCTAGTCAGGTGGTGGACGAGGGGATGAGGCAGAGGTGGGAGGCTGCCATGAGGCGGTGCGCGAGGGAATGACGGAGAGGCGGCCTTGAGGAGGTGAGCGAGAGATGAGGTAGAGGGCTGAGGCGGCCAGGGAGAGGCGGAGGTCAGCGGCGGAGGCGGCCGGGAAGAGGCGGAGGGTGGCGGCGGCGGCCGTGGAGAGGAGGCCGGGGGGAGGAAACGCCCAAACCAGAGTCAACCGGCTACTAGGTTGCCAGTGGGGCCAACCTAACTGTGGACGTAGTTGATATTAGCGTCCAACTCTGGACGTCGATTGTACTAGCGTCCGCCCTCGGACGCTATAAGGCCCAGCGTCCATACTATTTCTCAAATTAGTAATAATGGTTTCCCAGTTTCGTAATTACGTGATTATTAATTATTATTGATAAAAAATCGGCACATATCTAGGAGGTCCTGTGATCAAATTGTTAGCATGGCCCAGGAGATCGATGGATACACACACGTGAGTACGCAGTGGACACACCTACACTTCTCATGTAATACACAATGGAGAGGAAGGACACAAACGCGCAGAGCTTTTCTGGTACACGCACTTGTGCCTTTTCTGTATTCCTCATCTCAAATAGCAAAACTGATTACAAGCCTATTTAAAGGGAAATATGCAATGCTCGCATGGCCAAGCCACAACGGCTTGATCCGTTTCTCACTCTCCACTACCTGCATGCACCCACGTTCTCTTGTACGGCTTCTCCTCAACGGCCACACGACCAGGCCAAACTTGATCCATGCATGTAGCTTCCCACTATTCAACTTGACTAATCCTAACAACTCGTACATGCACTACTTCACTAATGACTTGCAATCTGGCCGCTGACTGCACTCTCTGTATCGCTTAGTGTTGTCTCTCTTGCCGGTATGCCCCTCTGCCATTATCACGTGCATGCAACTAGCTAGAACTTAGTCAGCTACTAAAACAACATCACACAATCCAAAATAAACATGATCTAATCATCTACTCTTGGCACTAATAACAAGATTAGTTCCAACAATCACCTCCCTAATCTTGTTATTATTTATTTCTCTCTAGAACCCCATGGTCGTCGATGTCGTCGGTGCAACACGGAGATGGCCGCCAATGCCATCTTGTCCCGCCGATTCCCGGCGTCGCCGCTGGCCTCCACGAGAGATGCACCTCCCACCCCTTCACCACGAGCGTGCCGCCATTGCAAACTCGCTGCCACATCTGCTCCACCGGTGTTGCAATTCGCCGGTGGCTCATCTCCATGTTGTCGCCGATAACGCACCTTGTCGACGACTCGGACATGGAACTCCTCATGGCAACGGCCTCCGCTCCATGGCCATCACCTCCTTGCCGCCGGTGGCACAACTTACCGGGCAGCATACCTTTCACCATCGCTCGTGACGCAACTCGAAGAGGAAGGAGACTCGGACCTCGACACACCATGCTCTCGTGCACCACCACCTTGTGGCAGCCGCACCATGTCGAACCCCGACCACGCCATATGGGCGAGGTTGAGCCCCTCCGGCGACCCGACGAGTGTGGTGAAGTGCACAAACATTCTCTCACCATGGCTCTGAATACCAAGTGTTGGCATGGCCCAGGAGATCGATGGATACACACACGCGAGTACGAAGTGGACACACCTACACTTCTCATGTAATACACAATGGAGAGGAAGAGCACAAACACGCAGAGCTTTTCTGGCACACGCACTTGTGCCTTTTCTGTATTCCTCATCTCAAATAGCAAAACTGGTTACAAGCCTATTTAAAGGGAAATATGCAATGCTCGCATGGCCAAGCCACAACGGCTTGATCCGTTTCTCACTCTCCACTACCTGCATGCACCCACGTTCTCTTGTACGGCTTCTCCTCAACAGCCACACAACCAGGCCAAACTTGATCCATGCATGTAGCTTGCCACTATTCAACTTGACTAATCCTAACAACTCGTGCATGCACTACTTCACTAATGACTTGCAATCTGGCCGCTGACTCACTCTCTGTATCGCTTAGTGCTGTCTCTCTTGCCGGTATGCCCCTCTGCCATTATCACGTGCATGCAAGTAGCTACTCCCTCCGTTCCTAAATACTTGTCTTTCTAGGCATTTCAACAAGTGACTACATACGGAGCAAAATGAGTGAATCTACACTCTAAAATATGTCTACATACATTCGTATGTAGTAGTCATTTGAAATGTCTAGAAAGACAAATATTTAGGAACAGAGGGAGTAGAACTTAGTCAGCTACTAAAACAACATCATGCAATCCAAAATAAACATGATCTAATCATCTACTCTTGGCACTAATAACAAGATTAGTTCCAACACAAATCCTAGATAGCCTCAAATCTTTTCTATTTTTCCAGTTTTTTTTCCCAATCGTGCACATCCTCTTCGGTCCAACTCTGTTGCTGGGCTTGCACAGTGCATTGCATTTGGCGTGTATATGTTTTTTCTATCCCCTGCAATTTAATATTTGTCCAGTGTATTTCATATTGCTTTGCCACTATTTTGAAATGTGCCTAATTAAATAACCGTGCATCGGATTTAAACATGTCATATATGCATCTTGCTCAGATTTTCATGTTCTTTAACAAGTATGCAACTTTCATCCATGCTAAGATGTTTAAACTTGTTGTTTGCATTATTTTTGCATGAATGATGTGTTAAAATGGTTTATTTCATAACTAAATAACCGTAGCTATGTTTGATATGAACTTTACATGTAAATAAGGTAGAAAAATACATAGTTTAACATGGTGGCATTACTTTGCATGTTTAAAAAGTCTAAAATATGGTTTAGGGTAGAACAGTACAAAATCCGAATATTGCATATGAGGATTTTCTGGAATTGTTATGTGTTGTTTCCGACCTCATCTAAACTTGCTTTGATGTGGGGTTCTTTTATGCATCATCCCTTGCCATGAGTAATAACATTTAATCTTGACATGCATCATACTTGGTTGTGCATCATGTGATGTTATGCTTGCTTGTTTACTATGTTGTTTGCTTCTTTTCGGTTGTGCTTCTTCTCGATAGTTCCTGTTTCCTTGCGATCGTGAGGATTCGTTTGACTGCGCTTGGTTTGTCTATGCCCGTTCGTCTTCTTCATGGAATCATTCTTCTTCGTAGCGGGATCTCAGGCAAGATGACCGTCACCTTGGATCTCACTACTATCTTTGCTATGCTAGTTATCTCGATGCTATCACGATGTCGCGCTACCTACCACTTGTTTATCAAGCCTCCCAATATGACATGAAACAACCTCTAACCGGTCTTTTGCCTGGATGGAAGGCTCGACCTTTTGCCTGGTGTTTTGTTTCATTCTTGCCACCTTAGTTTCTGTCATACCGGTGTTATGTTCTTTCATTTTGCGTCCCTAACACGATGAGGGTTTATGGGCCCCTCTTGACACTTTGCTTTGAATAAAACTCTTCCAGCAAGGTCCAACATTGGTTTTACCATTTGCTCAACATAATAACTAAACATGATAATAAATTTGACGCATAGGGAGTTAGTCCTACCCGAGGTTCGTTATTCAACATAATACAGGGGGGCAGTGCTGATGGTGTTGGTCCCAAACTAGAGCACCGTGCGGGACCGCCCTGGGTCAACCTCGGTTATTTTATTGGCACATGTACATGTAGCTCATCCGTCATGGCCTGAGACGAGATACGCGCGGCCACTATCAGGGTGTCGGCACGTCGGGAGGTCTTGCTGGACCTATTTTACCATTGTCGAAATGTCTTGTGCACCGGGATTCCGAGTCGGATCGGAGTGTCCCGCGATGGAGGATTGTCTTCATGGATCGTGAGCTTATAATAGGCTAAGTTGGGACACCCCTGCAGGGTTTAAACTTTCGAGATCCATACCCATGGTTATGTGGCAGATGGGAATTTTTAATATCCGGTTGTAGTGAACTTGAACTAAACTCAATTAAGATACACCAACCGCGTGCGTAACCGTGACGGTCTCTTTTCGAGTGCGTCGAGAAGATAACACGGTGGAGTTATGTTTGAACGTAAGTAGTTCAGGATCACTTATTGATCATTACTAGTTGTGACTGTTTGCATAGTTTCTCATCTTTCTCTTGTACTCGTAAGTTAGCCACCATATAATGCTTAGTCGCTTGCTGCAACCTCACCACTTATCCATTCCATACCCGTTATGCTTTGCTAGTCTTGATACCCATGGTAATGGGATTGCTGTGTCCTCGTGGCTCACAGATTACTACAACAACAGTTGCAGGTACAGGTAACGTGATGATCATGACGTGAGAGCGATGTTTATTTGTTTTGGAGTTCTTGTTCCGCTTCTTCTTCGATCGAGGGATAGATTCTTGGTCGGCAACCTGGGCTAGCAGGGTGGATGTCGTTTGGGTTTCGGTTTGTGTTTCGTCCATAGTCGGATGTTGTTCTCATGTATGATGTTTGATGTAT